TTTTTTTGTATTGTTCTTTTAGTCTCCATTACAATGATTTCTGCTCTGATCTTAATAATTCCTCCCTTGTATAAGCTTTAGGTTTATCTTGCTATTCTTTTTCTAGGAGCTTAAGATTCAGCATTTGGTTGTTTATTTGAGCTCATTCTGCTTTTGTGGTGTGGGCATTCACAATGAATTTCCCTCATAAAACAGCATTCATTGTGTCCCATAGATTCCTGTATGTTGTACTGGGATTATTATTTAATTCCAAAACCTGTCTAAATTCTTCTTTAATTTCCTCTGTGATGCATTGGTTTTTCAGGAGGGTGTTATTCAATTTCCATGTGTTTGTGAAGTCCTTGAGGTTTCTCATGCTATTGATCACCAGTTTAATTGCACTATGATCTGACAATATACATGAGATAACTTCAATTCCTTTTCACTTACTTAAATATGTTCTATGAACTACTATGTGGTTTATTTTGGAGAATGACACGTGCCCAGCTGAAACGAATGTATATTCTGATTTTGTTGTGTGGAACACTTTGTAGACATCAGTTAAGTATGTTTGTTCAAAAGTATGGTTCAATTCTATTATTTCATTGTTGATTTGGTGTCTAGATGATCTGCCTATTTGTGACAGTGGGGTATTCATGTCCCCCACTACAATTGTATTAGTTCTTACTTGGATTTTTATGTCCATTAATATTTGTTTTTTGTAGTTGGGGTATTAGTATTTAGTGGATATATATTTATGATTGTCATTTCTTTCTCTTGGATTGTTTCCTTTACAAGGATGTAGTGGCCTTCTTTGTCTCTCTTAATTAGTTTTGCTTTGAAATTTACTTTGTAAAGAACATAGCTACCTCTGTTTTTTTCTGGGTTCCTCTCACATGGAAAACATTTTTCCATCCTTTTACTTTCAGTCTATGAGTCTCTTTTTGAAATAGGTGTGCTCCTAGTATACAGCATATTATAGGATTTTGCCTCTTAATCTATTCTAACAGTCTGCTGCTTTTGATTGGTGAGTTGAGGACATTAACATTGATGGTTATAACTGACAGGTATTGATTTATCTTTGTCATGTTATCTTCCTGTTGTTGCCTCTTTTCTATTTTTTCACCCTCTCCTTTTAATTTCTTGCCTTGCCTGATGGATTTGCTCTGTTGGGTCTCATGGTGTACCCTTCATTGCCTTTTTTTCTAGGATATTTTTTGGAATGATTTGGGGTGTTGATTTGGTATTCATGAAGTTTCTCAGGTGTTCTTTGCTATGCAAGTATCTTATTTCCCAATCAATTTTGAAAGATAGTTTTGCAGAATACATCAGTCCAGGTTGGTTGTTTTCTTTTAGGGCTTGAAATACCTCACTCCAGGCTATACTTGAATTGAGTGTTTGTGGTGAAAAGGCTCCTGTGATTCTGATGGGCTTTTCTTTGCATTTGATTTGTTTCTTTTCTCTAACTGCTTGTAATATTTTATTCTTCTATTGGGCTTCTGGGATCTTGATTATTATATGTCTAGGTGTAGATTTTTTTATCAAGGCTAGTTGGAGTCCTATATGCCTCACTTAGCTTTATGTCAAATTTTTTGATCTGTTTGGGAAGTTTGCTGTCATTAATTCTGTGAAAAGTGTTTTTTTTATGTCATTTGTACTTTTTCATCCTTTTTTAGACTCCTATCAGCATTATATTATTCTTCTTTGCATCATCTAGGAGCTGTTGGTTTGATTTCTAGTGGTGCCTTACTGGTTTTCAGAGATCACTATTTTCTTGCTCACTGACTGCCATCATGTCTTTTATATCTGATATTCTGTCTTAGATTGGCTTATTCTGGGGTGTATAGTTTCAATAGAGTTTGTAACCTCCTGGATATCTGTTTGAATCAGTTTCATGAATTGCTACGTTGGATGTTCAGGATTTCCATTTCTTTCCTATGTTGGACATCCATGGGTTCCATCATGGTCCCAAACTCATCTCTTTTTTTTATCTGTTTCTCTCCTGGAGTCTCTAATCATGTCTTTCATTGTGCTCAAAATCTCTGTAGTTATCTGGGAAATTATTTCTGTTTCAAAATTTTCTAGATCCATGTTCATCTGTTTTGTTATTTCCTGTGCTATCAGTTCAGGGCATCCAGGTGGTTGATTATCAGAATATTCCACCTTGTTTTCCTCAGAGTTTGCCTTTGGTGTGCTGGAAGTCTAGAATTGAGTCTTGCTTAAATGTCTTCTCATTTTTATTTTTGTTGTTTGTTCTGTCCTTGGTTTAGTTCCTGGGTTGATAATTCAATATTAGTTACTGTAGGTATAATTTTGCTTGTACTTAGAACCCTAATAGAATGATTGCTTCTCAGAGTTGTCTTCCAGATACATCTGGTCTTAAGGGTTTGAGTCTCTAATGACTCTGTGGCTATCTCATTTTCATTATACCAGGAGGATAACTGATAAGATCAATCACAGCACCTTAGCTCAAGTGATACAATCAGCAATAACAATAATATACAGTACAGCTTAGAAAATAACAACTTGTGGTAGTTATTAATCTATCACCTTCAACCATATGAATTAAAACTAAATTGAGGACAAGCTGAAAATACATTTATAGTGAATAGACTCTTTAATATAGCAACTTTACCATTTGGGAGAGGAATTAGAAGGAGTTGGGAACGGGAATATACAGGTAGAAGGATAGGGAAAGATTAGAAGTAAGGCCAGAGGACACAGGAAGATCACGCAAACTCTACAGGGAATTATTGAAGACAAGAGGAAAGATAGAATGAAAGATCAAAGACAAGGACAGAACAACCTATCAGCAATAGGGAAGCTAGAAACTGTATTCACTTTTCTTTGAAACTAATGACAATTGAGAGAAGAAAAAAGTGAGAAGAAAAGAAAAAGAAAGAAGAAAACTGAATTACGACAGGAACAGGAAAAAAAAGGGAGATGCAGAACAATGTGGGACAGTGAGAGAGCAAGAGAGTGAGAGAGAGAAATGAGATAAAAAAGCAAAAGAAGAAAGAAAAAAATTGAAAAGTAGAAAAAAACAAATAAAAATTAAAAATGAGAGAAAAAATAATTTTGAAAATGAAAAATAAAAATGAAGGGCCTTCTTCAGCCTATGCATCTGCTGTCACAATAGACAACGTGGGCTGCAGTGTGGAGGTCTAAGTCAAGTAGTCTCACCAAGCCAGCAGCAGACCCCTGAGATTCAGGCTTATTTCTGGCTGCAAGGCCCAAGTTCAGCTGCCTGATCTCCTGCAGGGTTGAGCTCTGCAAGGTACTACTACAGGTCCCAGCTGCCCTTCTCCTGAAGATATTCCAGGTTCTCAAGGGAGGTGGTGATCCCTCCAACTTACTAACTATGGTGGTCTGGTGTGACTTTACTATAGAGATTCTCTTCACTTTTCCAGGGCACTTCAATTTTCATCAAGGAGCCTGAGAGGGGTCCTCTTTCTGTTGTTCACTTCTCCTCTATCTTCTGGAGCTCAGGACAATGGCCTTTATGACCCCCTGTGCCTCTAGGTTGTGGATCCAGGTACAGGCACAACCAAGAAGCCAGAGGCGGTGGGGTGGGGGGATTCTGGAGTTTTGCTTCAGGCAATGTGTGGCTCCACTTCTCACCTGTCCACTACTGGCTGGGAGGTCCAGAATGGGGCGGTGTAGCTCCACTCCAATGCTGTCTCACATCACCTCTCCTCTCTCTTCCTCTTTTAAAATTAAATTAAATTATCCTTGAATCTGAACTCATTTATTTTCTACAAGATCCTAATGAGTTGAATACAATTATCATCATATTTCATAGCTCAAAAATAATGAGTCTCTGTGTCTAACTATAATTGTATGAAATAACAAGTGTAATTGGTACCACCAAGATTTTTTACCTTGGTTTGTTGCTCTAAGCTCTGTGATCTCTGTGCAGATGTGGTTGCCATGAGAAATATTTTAAACCTTTTAGTTTTAATAGGCATAATAATTTTGCATCTTTTTGTGGTAAAATGTGATATTATGGTAATCAGAGTATCCATGTCCTGAAACATTTAATGTTTTCTGTGTTGGGAACAGTCAATACCATGTCTAGCTATTTTGAAGTATAAAAAATGTGTTTTTAATTATAATAAAAATTGTACCACTGAATACTATGCCTTAATTCTTCTCAATGTGTTTCATTACTCACTATTTGACCCAATTTATCCTCCCTTCCTCTCTGTGTTTCACAACCTCTGACTATGACTATTCTACTCTTGGCTTTTAGAAGACCAGCACATTCAGCCTTCACATCCGAGTCACACCCTAACCTCTTGCTTTTTTTTTCCATAACACTCCTCCTTCATGGCCTTGAACATCTGAATGATGTATGTTTCCCTAGGCCTAGCACTGTTTGTTTCTCCTACATACAAAACCTCCCCAGTGACCTCGGTGGCACTCATCCCATCTTCTTGAGTTCTTTGTTCAAATGTCATCCTGTCTACTGTTCTTACTTGAAAGTCAGTTTAAAGAAAATGAAAAAATAATAAATATCCTACTCAATTTTTATTTTCTTTCCTTTTCTTTCAGGCATTTTTTATGGTCTCACATCTTATACAACATTTAAAGTCTGTGTAGTTTCTCTAACATTATATTTTATGCACGATTGATGTTTGCTCTGTAAATATATTATCTAGACAGTTCTTTTAAGATTTATATTCATTAATAATTTTATAAGGTATGAAAGAATTTTTCTTTACAATAATCAAACACATGATCTCTTGTTGGAAAGCTGAACATTGGATAGAAATTCCTCACCAGAGATGATAGACAGAGCTATTAAAGGGAACCTAAAAGTACATGAAACATAAAAATAAGGTATTTGACTATAGAAAATAAGTGATAACATTTATGAGAAGTGACTAGTGCAAGTTGTTTTTGTTTGTCACCACTCATACACCTTGCTCTCCTTTCTCTCTCTCTCTCTGTCTTTGTGTGTGTGTGTGTGTCTCTGTGTGTGTGTGTGTCCCTTTCACTCTGCAGGTTACATCAACGATATGGAATCAAGAAATTACACACAAATTGCAAGATTTGTTCTTCTGGGATTTTCAGATGACCCAGACCTACAGCCTTTGCTGTTTGGAATTTTCCTGTCCATGTACCTGGCCACTGTGCTAGGGAACATGCTCATCATATTGGCCACAGTGTCAGACTCCCGCCTGCACACACCCATGTACTTCTTCCTCTCCAATCTGTCCTTTGTGGACATCAGTTTCACCTCCACCACAGTACCAAACATGCTCATGAACATTCAGACACAGAGCAAAGTCATGACATATGAAGGCTGCATCACTCAAGTGTATTTTTTTGTACTACTTGTAATGTTGGACATCTTTCTGTTGACTGTGATGTCCTATGACCGCTATGTGGCCATCTGCCACCCACTGCATTACAGAGTCATCATGAACCCCCAGCTCTGTGTGTTGCTGGTTCTAGCATGCTGGATCCTGAGTGTCCTAAATGCCCTGTTACACAGCTTAATGGTGTTGCGGCTGACCTTTTGCACTGGTTTGGAAATCCCACATTTCTTCTGTGAACTAAATCAAATAGTCCACTCTGCCTGTTCTGACACCTTTCATAATGATGTGGTGACATATGTTAGCACTGTGCTGCTGGGTGGTGGTCCACTTGCTGGCATCCTTCACTCTTACTTTAAGATAGTTTCCTCCATACATGCAATCTCATCAGCTCAGGGGAGGTATAAAGCATTTTCCACCTGTGCATCTCACCTTTCAGTGGTTTCTTTATTCTATGGCACAAGCCTAGGTGTGTACCTTAGTTCTGCTGTTGCCCAAAACTCATACTCAACTGCAACAGCCTCAGTGATGTACAGTGTGGTCACACCCATGCTAAACCCCTTCATCTACAGTCTAAGGAATAAAGACATCAAGAATGGTCTGAAAATATTATTTAAGAGTGCAACAAGGAGTTAGATAATACGCCTATGATTTTCATTTCAACTGTTCTATATCACCTAATATTCTATTAAACTTTTCACTGTTTTCATTATCTAAAAGATTTTCCATTTTATATTTTCCTAATGCACTTAAGTTTCCAAAAATATTATCGTATATATTTTGCATTTCTCTCTTATGTTATGGATCAACTCATAGTACTCAAGAGTAATTTCCTCTTAAAATGTAAACATCAAACCAATTAATGTATTGGTTGTTGTTTTACTTTTAAATAATCATACATTTTTAGACTCTCATGGAGAAAACTAAAACTGGCTACCAAACATATTTTTGTAGTTTTTATTGGATATTTTAATCTATAATGATTGAATAATGTAAATTTTAACATTTCAGAATCTTATAAATAAATGGGTATTAAGCTTCATTATCCTCTGGATTATATTTTTTCTCAGCTCATTTTCCACACTGTCTCCCATCATTCAGTAGCTTCTGGCATGCTGAGATGGGGCTTCCACTTGAGTACTGACTGGGTCATGAGCAGGATGTTCTGCAAAAGCAAACATCCCCAGTGTTTGGGGAGGAAGGAGTTAGTGCCAGTTCCAGTACCTGTCTCTTTTCTCCCCAGGATTCAACCTTTCGAAGTCACTGTCAGCTCATGTAGTAGGAGAGCAACAGTCTCCTCAGTGCTCAGTTCTGGGTTCCTAATCAGGGTTGTGCATCTGTCTTCAGCTTCCCCAAGGGCCTACCAGTGCCCTCTCAAACACCTACTGTCAGCTTTCAGTCACCATCATTGTGATCCTATTCCCATTGGGATCAACAGACCAATTAGGAGTCTTTTTTTTAAGTACATGTTTAGTTCATGTTTGCAGTACATGCAGTTTACAGTCATCTTGGGAATTAGGTGCATATGCATAATATGTTGTTTCTTTTTAAAATATCCTTCCTCTCGCCTCCCTGCTTCTATAATTCTCCTTCCCCCATTTTAATTCTTACTGATATCATTAATTTTAGCTCTCAGTTTTAGTGGTATATCTCTGTGAATCCCCTTATTCAGGGCATTTGATCCAATAAATATGAAAGTCTCAGGGTGTAAGGGGTGCCATGCTACTGTGGGAGTACAGGTCTCCTTTATAAATCCTCCTGATACCAAATTTGGATCTGGTGAGTTTCTTCAATTTCTTTCCTTTATCTAGATTTCTTTCTCACCCTCCATATATTGTAGGAGTTTTCCTGTGCCTGTGTGGCCACAATGGAACTTTTGCCCCAGTTGGACATTTGCTAAATTCTTTGTGACTCCTGAAATTTTTCTTGGGAGAAGAAATGAATTTCTAATTCTCTTGCTCCTAGGAGACAGCAAACTAATGTACTTATTAATGTACTTATTAATGTACTTATTAATGTAAGTTAATACTTTGTATCTTGTTTCAGTTGATATTGATGTTCCACTGATTTTGTTTTATACTGTTATTTAGAAACCTGCTTTTATTCCTTTCATTTTTTTGAAAGGTATATTTTGATAGTTATTTTTTCACATGTGAAATGCTTTTTATTTTTAAGTATGTGTTCAGATGTGTTTTGTGGTTTCTCCTATAGTACATTCACTGGTTATGAGAAAAATATTGTTCCACTGATATTTAATGAAATGATCTGTAAAAGTATTTTAGGTTAATATGTTGTATAGTGTAGACCACTGTATTTTTAAAAGAATGGTTAAAAAAACCTAAGCTAAAGAGTTGCAAATAAATAATGACAAAGAAGGAATGTAAGAAAAAGAACATAATGTGTTCATATATGATACATTTAAAAGTATTGAAAATAAATGAAGAATACATCCAGGAAAAGGAAGTCTTCCATTTCAAAATAAAGATTAAATCTTAATAAAAATTTTTTTTTACAAATTTTCAGTTTCTTTTTCACCATTTTTCTTTTGAATATTGAACTTGTGCAATTTCTTATCGTTATAAAGATAAGGCTACTTTTTTTCTTTTGGATAAATTTGATTTTGTTTTTAAATTTTGGCTAGAATTAAGGAAATTTAAACTCAGTTAAAAATCCACCAGAAGCAAAGATGGTCTTTCTCCCTCAAACACTGTCAGGGATCGCTGACAGGGATCATCTCCTTTCCCTCATTATTACTTTATTCTTCTTTTTGTACATGTACTCAACTTAAAAAATATTTTTAAATGCACAAAAAGGCCAAACCATGACTCAGCCCTAGTAGTTACTTTTAAGTAGAGATCATTTTATTTAATAATGCCCCACAGAATGAGACTAATAATGTTGGCAATTTAAATTTTCCAATGAAAATTACTCATGATTCCATTAATTTAAAAAGTAGAAATATTTTCTATAAATATGAACATAGCTTACAGTCTGGTACTGTTTGTGGTTCCCAACATACATTGAATATCTTAGAAAATATTTGTGGTGGACAAATGAGGGACATTGTAATTAAACATACTGGAAAAATTATATTAATATAAGAAAAAGAAAATTTCAGACAAAAGAAAATTATCGGAGTTATAGTGAAGCATTTCATATAGGTGAAAGTATCAATGCACACAAAAAGATAAAAATTTCATCATCTGTGAAAATGACAACATACACAAATGACTGATGCAGATTCCAGCCCAGGTCTAGAGAATTACTCAGCCTATGAGATACACAAAACTTTTAGGGAAAAAAGTAAGGAGTACCACAGCTGTTCACTTTCCTCAAATAACACTGTCCCCAGCCCCCTGGAACTCTGCAGTTTTCCTGTCAGAAAACAGTACAGAATCACAGATGGTGACAGCAAACAAATTCCTTGGCCAGGGGCCCAGAACCCACACAGGTCTGGTGATCTAGCTACCCTGGAAATCAAGAAAACTTCAATGGGAAGAAGGTAGGAAAAAAGGGAAACTGTTTGCACTAACTGAGAAAAGCTTTTCACTGATTTCAAAGGTCATTGAAATAACAGAAGACTGAGAAAGCTGACAGAAATGACTTAGAAGTCCCAGGATGGGGAGCAGTTTAAAAAGTCAGTAGCTGGTAGAGAACCATGGCTGAAACTCAATGGAGGGAGCAGAGTAAATGCTGATCAAAGATTCTGAGAAATACCGAGGCTCCAGAATATGGTGGGCTAATGATACTGGGACTGGAATAGGGCAGAGTGTTGACACTCCCACCTGCCAAATCAATGCACTGTGTGCAGTGTCAGGCACATTCAGATCAACTTCACTTCTAAAGCATAAGCCTGCAAGAAGTATGTATACAATTGTGCATGGGTGTGGATTGTTTTTATTTCTACAGTAATTTACATTGACTTGTTCATTTCTTCCTCACCAAGGGTCTTTTACCAATCCTCAACATTGGGTTTCCACAGGCAGAAAAATAACATTAATTCGTTCCAAACCCACAAAAAGCATCTCTCTATTTCCACTTCTTTTTTTTCCTGATCATTCACTCTGGCCCCTCACATAACCTCCAGAACTTCCTGTGCTTCCCCTCTAATATCTGTGTATAAACATAGTGCCATGAATATCTATTTAAAAATTTTTTTCATTAAGTTTCTTGGCAAATTTTAGGTATACAATACAGTTACATTCATCGTTGGGATCTTGTACCTTTACATGATGTATCTTGGTTCTTATTTTTCCCCTTTTCCCTGTCCTCTCTTCACCCTCTCCACCCTTCCCCATTTACAGAGACCTTGTTTCCATTTTTTCCTTTTCTCATATTATTTCTTTTTCCCTTCTTTCCTCCCCATACCCCTTACACTTCCCCTACTCCTTTAGACCTTTTCTTCTTATTTTACATTTTCAATTATACTATTTGAACCTTATTCACACTTTTAGCTTTTCACCCTGGAGAAACTATTCGGTATTTACACGTGTGTCCTATTTATTTCACTAAAGTGTATGGCCTCAATGTACATCCATTTAGATATAAATGTCTCTAGTTATTTTTAAAATATTTTTGTTTCTCCTTTTTGTTTTATCTCATTTATCCTCACCCTTCCACTTTTCTTCACATATTTCCCAGCCTATTCTTCATGGTTAGTATACCTTCAATTTCATGCCTTACTGAAAGACTTCAAAACGTTTACAATAAGTATTAAATTAAGTATTGGTATATGACTGATTCTTTGTGCATTGTCATTATGGCTTATCCTCACACACAAAAGGCAGTGAATATAGACTGAGACTAGTACTTGAGGAGATGGAGTAGGTGTCTGTACACTGAACAATACCCAGGGTCAAAGGCACATCAGAGGGAGAATTGCACTTAACAAAGACATTTCTAGTATACTCACAGAGTTTTCTCTCCTAAGAGAGCTACAACTTTCAATACAACAATGGAAGATTCCTGAGAAAACAAAGCAATAAGATACCTGCAAAACTCAATTCCTCACTCATTTCACAGATAAAGAAGTGAATTTCTGGACAAAGAAAAAATAATTAAAGAAATCAAAGAAGAGACAAATAAGAAGCTTAAGTAATTACTATGATGATTAATGGACTAAAAGTAGTGTAAATAAGCTGCTGAATAAATAAATTATAATATTAAAAGTGAGCTAGAGAAGATGGAAATAAACAGCTGAATAAATTATGGAACACAATGCAGCATAAGAATGAACACATTAGGGAGAATTAGAACTCATTAAAAAGAATCAAGTAGAAATCAAGAAAATAAAAACTTCAATGCAAAGCTTTGGAAGTATCATGGTCAGACAGAAAGTAAAATGTTAGGACTGGAGGACAAAGTTGATGTACTAGAACATTTACTAAATAACACTAAAAAATCAATAAGAGACAATCAGATGATCTGAGAACTTCAAGGTAACTCTAAAGGAGCAATTCCAAGCGTCACTGGAATTGGAAGAGGTGTTAGATTTAGTATCTAAGGGTACAAGAATTTATTCAACAAATAACTACAGAATATTTTCCAAATCTTGGAAATATGATGGATCCAAGCCCCAAAGTAGTGAGTGTGGTCACAACAGTCATTTGTCAGAGATGGAAAGTGATAGACAATTATGAAATGATTCTGACTGTTTTAAAATCAACATTTACATGATGTAGAAGGAGAGAGGGAAGCATTTCATAGGTCTATTGCTATGAAAATATATGAATTGTATGCTGTGGATTTGAAATACAAGGGTGAGAATGACAGAGATAATTTAATGGGCTGAAAATATCCTTGGGGAAAACTCTATATGTACAGTATATATTTATATACACTTATGGCACATTAATCATTTTTATTTTCCATGTTTTTCTGAGATACTCGATTGATAGTAATTGGCAACAGTGGCAGCATTCACAATATTTTTTTATCACAGCTCATAAAGACTTTCACTGAGGAGCACTTCCAGAACTATTTTAGAAAGTGACAATAGTGTGAGATGTAGTTTAAAAAAGTGAGGAGTAGTTTGAGAGAGATTAATGGTAATGAGTATTTCACTGTAATATTTAAAATTTTTAACCACACCATATTTTAAGTCACAGTTTCTATATTAACCAAATATTAAGGATCTAAAGGGTGACATGAATTGCCTACAATAATCATAACAAATATCCATACATAACTTTAAGTTCATTCAACCAGAAAATTAGTGAGAATGTAATGGACTAACAACATTTTGAACTAAATAGATTTAATAACATATGTGATACATTCCATCTGACAAGAAAGAAGCCAAAGTAGTCTAAAGAACAGTTGGACTGTTATCTAAGACACATTTTTAGGCCACAAGAGAAGTCTGTGGAAATTAAAGAACACTGAAGTCATATCAAGCACTCTTTCTAAAAGAAATGGTTTAAAACTAGAAGTCCATAATAGGAAGAACTTCAGAAAATGCACAAATACATGCTTATTAAACAATACATTTGTAAATGACCAATGGATCAATGAGAAAATTAAATGAGAAATTTAAAATAATGAGAGAAAAAACATTAACTCCACCCATCAAAGTTATGGGTGAACAAAAAGAAGTTGGACAAGATTAGAGGGAGAAATAAACAACTATAGAAAACAAGAAATATTGTGCATATGTTATTGAAATTTTTGCCTCAATAAAATTGTAAAAGAATAAAATAAGTTACTAGAAAGAAGAAAATGAAACAGAAATGAGAATCAATGAAACAGACTAGAAATACAATACAAAGCATAAGAAAAATAATTTAGTTTTCTGAAATATAAACAAAAATTTAAAACTTTTAGCTAGATTGATTTAAAAAGGTAAGAGACACAAATAAATGAAGTCATAAATAAGAAAAAAATACAAATAATATCACCATAATAAAATATTCAGAAGAAACTACTGTGAAAATTTGTATATTAAAAATATGGGGAAACTTTAAGTGGGTAAACCTCTAGACACAAATACCCACCTAGATTGAAATGAGAAGAAATATTACTGGAATACCTCAGAAATAAATGGAAAGAACAAATCACTAATAAGAACTGTTCTGTCAAACAATAGTTAAAATAAAGTCCAGGGCCTCATGTTTTCACTGCTAAATTCTACCAAACATTAACAAAATTGTTTATTTTTTCTCAAATTTTTCCAGTTGAAGTGGTGAAAGCTAATCCAAGTTCATTCTATAAGGTAATCATTTCCCTGATAACAAAATAAAGGACAAAATCTGATAGCATAATATGTCTTATGACTACAGGTAAGAAATCCTTAATGAAATATTGGTGAACTAAATCCTACAGTCCGACAAAAGTACTACACACTATGGGCAAATGAAATTTATCTCAGAGATAAAGAGATGGCTAAATATATACAAAGTAATGAATGTGATATTATAACATCAACAAAATGAAGACCAAAAACTGTATGACCATCACAATTGATACAAAAAGAGTATTTGATGAAATTGAACATCCCCTCATGATAAAAGATCCCAATATAAAAAAATGTACATAAACAAGATAAATGCTACATTTTGCAAGCCCAGTGAAAACATGATACACATTAGGGAACCACTGGGAGTGTTTCCTTTAACATCAGGAATGAGAAAAGAGAACCCACTCCCACTCATATATTAGTGAAAGTCCTTGCTGGAACAGTTGGAAGTGAAAATAAAAGCACCCAAATTGAAAAGGAGAAAGTTATATTGTCCCAGTTGTGTATGATGTGATTTTTAATTTATGTTTATTTGACATTCAATTACATATATTAATGTACATATTAATATGTACATTAAGAGACATAAAAGAAATGTATCAGAGATAAATTGATATTTTCATATTCATACACCGTAATAAAATTAGGTTACCAATATGTTATCTCTTTTTTGTTTTTTGATTGGTACATATTCATAGTACATGTCATTAACACTCATCGTGTGGAGTGATTACGTTACAGAGAACAACTTATTATTTTTTTATACATTAAGTTTATTGCTACATTTTAGGTATACATTATGATGACATTCACCGTTGGGAATTTGTACCTGTCCATGATATATCTTGGTTTTTATTTTTACCCCATTCCCTTGCCCTTCTTTCAGTCCCTCCAATCCTCCCTATATATAAAGACTTTTTTTCTGCTTTTTTCATTTCTCTTATTTTTCCTTTCCCTTCTTTCCTTTAACCTACCCCCAACTGCCACTTCATCTTCCCCTTTGGAACTTCTTATTTCACATTATCTATTATATGTTTTCTTCTTTATGTACACTTTCAGTTTCACACACCAGAGAAACTATTTGGTATTTACACATGTGTGTCATATTTATTTCACTTAAGATTATGGCCTCAATGTGCATCCACTTAGCTATAAATGTATCCAGTTTATCATTCTTTATGGCTGAGTAGTGCTCCATTTTATTTTAAAAATCCCGCATCTTCTTCATCCAGTCTCCAGTTGATAGCCATATGGGCTGTTTCCAAGATTTAGCTATTACAAACTCTGACATTGTAAACATGGTTGCACATATGTTGCTGTGGTATGATGGTTCCAATTCTTTTGGGAAGATACCCATCAGGGGAAGAGCGAGGTCAACTGGAACCACCAATCCTAGATTCTTGAGGTGTCTCAATACGGATTTCCACAGTGTTTTCACCAGTCTACACTCACACCAACAGTGGAGAATGGTTCCTTTTTCCACACAACCCTGCCAGCATTTCTTATTGGTTGATGTCTTGATAGCACTCATTCTTTCAGGAGTGAAATGGAATCACAGCATTATTTCTTTGCATGTCACAGATGACCCATGATATTGAATAATTTTTCATATGTTTATTTGCTGCTTC